GTACATTGACTCCTTCTTCTCGGACTTCACCCAGTCGAAATCGCCTGGCATGCGGGGAGGAAGGGTACGTCATCGTCGGCCGTCACAACTCAATATTTCCCCTCATTCCTCTTACTTCCTCCTGCTTCCTATTCGCCCTACACCTCATCCCTCCTACGTCCTACTCACCCTACCCCTCCTTCCTCCTGCTTCCTCTTCCCTCAAATGTGTTTCTCCCTCCCGTGCTGTTTCCTCCTCTACTTCCTCATCTCTCATACTTGCCAGTCCATGTTATGTTGCGCACTGTTGCCCCAAGTCTGCCCTGTCGCGGCCTTCGGCCATCCATTTTTTCAACCATTCTTTTTTCTTCTCGCGGTTGAGACGCTTGAACTGTCTCTTCAACTCGGGCCGCGTCTTCTCCATGTGGTACCTCAGGGTACGATCGGGGCCATCGCGCCCGCGACCACCCCTCCAGAACCCAACGTGAGAAATCAGAAGGAACCAAGATGTCAAAACTGCGTGTCTGTGTGTGTCGTTCCCGTGGTTTACACACCCAAGGTGCCTCATCTTGGCCATCGCATTTTCATGAGACGACTTGTCCTTTCTCTTCTCTTTTGCTGCCGTGCTGGTGCGGTCCGTGACCTTCAAAAAGGTCCGATCAGATCTTTGGGACGCACGCGTGCGTCCACGCATACACGCACGTTCACACATGTGTGAACGTGTATATGCGTGGACGCACGCGTGCGTCCCAATTTAAAGATCTGATCGGACCTTTTTGTTCTTCTCCTTCTTGGGCGGCATCCGTCACCTGGGCCCCCGCCCCATCCAATGCACCGGACGGATCTGAACAGGCAAGGACCGAATGTGCCTGCGACTTGGGGGTACGGGCCGCGTTGGCGGCTACTTTCAGGAGGGGTTCGGGGTGTGGGATGGGTGGGGTTTTACCAGAACGGCCGTCCGACCTTGGTCGCGGGTTCTGGGGGTCACGCATGGCGTGATGTATAGCTGTATACACTATACATGTACGCATATATTATTTATATATACACATACACACGTATAGATGTCTATATACATATATTCAGCCATGTATATTTATGCATGTATGTATGCATGTATGTATGTATGTATGTATGTATGTATGTGCACAGGTATGCATGTATGTATGTATGTATGTATGTATGTATGTATGTATATATGTATATATGTATGTATGTATGTAGGTAGGTATGTATGTATGGATGTATGTATGTATGCATGTATGTATGTATGTACGCAGGTATGCATGTATGTATGTATGTATGTATGTATGTATGTATGTATGTATGTATATATGTATCTATGTATGTAGCTATGTATGTAGGTATGTATGTATGCATGCATGTATGTATGTATGTATGTATGTATACGTGTATGTATGAACACTATATGTGTACGTACAATACGCACATTGCCTTTGCATGTCTGCACGCCCATATATGCGCACACGTGCACGCACACTCGGGTATGCGCACGCGTAGTCGCCCAAGTGTACTTGCGCGCGCGTCCGTCAAATCAAGTATGCACATGCACTCGCGCGCAGGCTACGCGCGGGCACGCACGTGGCGCGCGCGCGGGGGGCGGGCGGGGGGGGGGGCAGCTCCGACAGGCGACAGGACCGCTCGGGGCACGCCTGGCGCAAGCGCGCGAACTGCTCCAAGCGGGGGCATTCCCCCTGCCGCGTCGCGCCCCCCCCCTCACCCCTGCGCCCAGCTTTTTTTTTTTTTGTTTTTTTTCTTTTCTTATGTACGTTACATAAAAAAAAACTACGAACGACACACGCAAACAACACAAAGCTGGCAAGGGCGGCGATCGGGTGCACGTAAGTGCACGCGCTGTGGAACACTGCAAACACGTGAGACACAATGAAAAACCCCATGAAACACATGAAGAACCCATTGAAAACACACATGAAAACACATTGAAACCACGAGAAACATACAAACACAGGAACTCAACAACAGGAAAAACCACAGAAAACACATGACAACACCAGACAGTTCCCAATTTGAAAACAATGTACAACACATGATAAATCCACATGACAACACCTTGAAAACAACATGACAACGACTATTAAAACACATGAAAAACACATGAAAACCATGAAAAACACATGAAACACATGAAAAACACATGAAACACATGAAAAACACATGAAAAACACATGAAAAACACATGAAACACATGAAAACCATGAAAACCATGAAAAACACATGAAAAACACATGAAACAACTGACAACACATGAAAATAACACATGAAACACATGAAAACACCATGAAAACACGACCGTGAAACACATGACCAACACAGTGAAAAACATGAGATAAACAACACGGAACATGCAGAACACATGACACATCGGATGGGTTTTGGATTACGGAAGAAAACACTGATGAAAACCACATTACTACAACACCTGAACTACTATGAACACACTTGAAAACACATGACAACACATGACAAAGCACTGACAACAGACACATGCAACACATGAAAACACTATGAAACAAACATGACAACAACATGAAAAACACATTGAAACACATGAAAACACATGACAACACATGAAGACACATGAGAAACACATGAGACCAACAAACGATGATCATCCAAATGAAAAACAACACACACTGAAACACAGGAAAGACATAACATACCAAACTACCGTGAAGAACACGTGAAAAACAAACATGAAAACACATGAAAACACAGGAACATACAAACACGTGAAAACACATGACAACACATGAAAACACATGAAAACACATGACAACACATGAAAACACATGGCAACACATGAAAACCCATGACAACACATGAAAACACATGAAAACACATGAAAACACATGACAACACATGAAAACACGTGAAAACACATGAAAACACAGGAACATGCGAACACATGAAAACAAATGAAAACACGTGAAAACACATGAAAACACATGACAACACATGAAAACACATGACAACACATGAAAACACATGACAACACATGAAACCACATGACAACACATGACAACACATGAAAACACATGACAACACATGAAAACACAGGAACATCGGAACACGTGAAAACACATGAAAACACATGAAAGCACATGACAACACATGAAAACACATGAACACACAGGAACATCGAAACACATGAAAACACATGACAACACATGATAACACATGAAAACACATGACAACGCGTGAGACATCAGAAACAAATCTGAACGTTGAAACGCATGGAACCAACATGATTCGCATGAGAACAGCAACAAAAAAACACGGCAACGCTTGCGCGATCGTGGAGGCGGCCACGCGCAGCGCGCGTCAGGTGAGGCACGGCGAAGTGGCCTCGGGGGTCGGGGGGCGCGTCGCGGGGCACGCGCAGCTGCGTGGGCGCATGATTGGAGTTGCGCGTGCAGCTCCAACGATGCGCCACTGCAGCTGCGCGCACCGCCGCCATGCGCCCACGCGACCCTAGTGGCCACCCCGCGCAGCCCCCCCAACGCGAATTGCGTTCGGCCGCCTCCACAACCCGCAGCCGTTCGACCGCCTGCGTGGGTGTTGTACTGCGTAGCCGCTGGAGATCACCACGTCGTTGCGCTGTCGCCGAAGATCTTCGCCAGCACCTTGGCTACGGGCGGGGGCCACATGCACGCGCCCCCCCCCCCCCCCCCCCACCCCCCCCCCCCCCCCCCAACATCCGAAGCGTCCTTGGCAGCAGCCCCCCCCCCCCCCCCCCGCGCGCGCCTCCCACGCCAACCTACCCCTAGTACACGTTTGAACGTTTAATGCTAGAGGGCTTGGTGTTCGAGGGGGGGCTAGCTGGGTTCGACGGGGAGTAGGGGGCGGGGGCGGGACTGGGTGGGCGGCGGCGCGTGCAGGGGCATTGGTGAGGGGGTTATTTGGGACGTCGGTGGGGGAGGGGCTGAGCAGACTTGACCCGCAACATGCACATCGTATACAATTTGTGCGCCGCGTACATGGGCAACGCGCGCGTGCCACGCACGCACGCATGTTGCAGCGCTGCGTCGACGCGATGTGCACGCAGGTGGTTGCAGATAGATGCGCGAACCCGCCAGAGCACGCACACACACATACCTATGTATACATACATATAAGCACACACCATGTTTATCCAAGTAAGCATGTACGGTGTAAACACGGACGAACAACCAGGCACATGCATATATACAACGTTACGCATACAACTACGTAAACTTATACATATACATACGCACGTGCATGTTCATAAACATTGGCACCTGCACCTGCGTATCCATACCGCCTTATACGTACGTACATACGTACACACATGCATACGGACATACAAACATATGAATAGGTTTATGTATTTAGTTCTTCATGTATATATATATAGATATACCTACATATGTTTTATATAGGTGTCACCCCGTTCACCAAAGAGGAGTCGCGCACTCCACGTGCGCGGAGCTGGGGTGGTGGTGGCACCGATCTGGCTCGCACAGTTGTGCGCTTGAGCAGCGCACGCCTGCGCAAAGTGCGGCGCGGGAGGGGCAGGGTCGGACGAGGGCACGGAACATTGGATGAGGCAGACGGGTCTTGCTCGGAGGGCATCGGGAGGGGAGGGGATATTGGAGCAGCCTGAACCACACCGAGGGCTCCGAATCGCTCACGGGGGTCAGTCGATACATCGACGCATGGGCGTCGTGGCGGGGGTTGGGGCGCCCAGGGGGTACGGCGTTGTCTCGATCTGGGATTTGCATGCTCCGTCTCATCCTCCTCTTCCTCCTCCTCCTCCTCCTCCTCCTCCTCCAAACTCTGACACTAACCAAGCCTTGAAAAGGGACGCTGCGTCCCAGATCGATCCCCTGCCAGCCCCACGGCCCAGGAAGTCCAGGTCATCCCCGAGCGTACGTACCCTGGACCCTCAACAGCAATCCAACTGTAACCCGTGCAGCGCCATTCCTCTCAATTGCCAGCCAAGCTCATGTACATATGTTTTTGTCGTGAGTGACGTCGGCACTCGATCTGTCAAAAAGCAGCGGGGGCTCGGGCGATAATGGGCCCCCTCTCAAAGACGCCGCCGAAGTAGATCGACAGGCAGATGTTCAGCGAGACGCCCCTGCCCAGCATTCCCCCTCTGCTCTCGCTCGGGCTATCTTCCGACGCGCACCCACCCCTATATGGATCCGCGGGCTCTCCTCATTGCCCCAGGGGGGTTCGCAAACCACACCCACCCCCGTCAACCGAGGTCCCCAACCCACACCCCAGACAGTCAGACAGGGATTTAACAACATTGCCCCTCACCCGATGTGTCCAAGGAGTTGCTCGACACAATGCTTTTCAAACACATGGAACGCTCGTTCGCCATGGATGCAGCCGTGTAGTTATTCGTATGGTGGTGTCTTCTCTCGATATAAACATATATGTATATATAGATATATATATATATGTGTATTGTGGTTTGTTGTGTAGATCGCTCTATCCATATGTCCCTCTCCCTCTGCGCGTCTGTCTTGTAAACGTGTAGTTGTGCATATGCCTATACATATATATGTATATATCGACATCTATGTACGCACACCTGTATGTATGTATGCATGTATATATGTACGTATGTATGTATGTCTGAATGTATATATGTATGCACGTATGTATGTATGTATGTATACAGATCGCAACCCCTCTTTCTATATACATATGTATAGACACCTGTCAGCCCATGTCTCGATATATTATCTCTCTCACTTTCCCGCAGTCTCTCTCTCTCTCGCTCTCTCTCATCCGCTCCCGTGCTCGCTCGACGTGGTTCCATTCTCTCTTACCGCTCTTAAGCATCGCCCTCCCTCCCCCTCGCTCTCAAACTACAACATCTACCGAATCGAGTGGGGCACGCGCCTGCGTGCCCACGCCTTGCATGCATGGACTGTCCGATGTTTCGAGCTGCCATCCCCCCCTCAGGCATGCGAGCTACGCCCCCCGTCCGATCCTAATCGACCTCGAAGCACCGACTGAGTAAGATGTCGCGGCCTGTCATCTCCAGAAACTCGTTCCTCCTGCCGATGGCGCACTCCTTCTTGATGGTCTGTTCGTCGATGCACTTGGCGAGGACCATCTGTTAGATAGGGCGCATGCTATGTCGAGGCGAGCGCGCGCCGACCCGACATGGTGATCTAGGGGCGATGGGCGATGGCGCCAGCAACGGAAGAAGGACAACAGGAAGGGATACCAGGGAGCAGGAGGAATTGCGCAGGGGGCGGGGAGGAGGAGCAGGGCAGTGGGAGCTGTACCTCGTCATCCACCTCCCTCGGCATTTCCGTTCCCCCAATCCTCATGCATTTAGTTATCATGTTTGCCTCCCCCTCCTACCTCAACGGTGGTGCGTAATGAAATAGAGGCGCCTGCGACAGTATGTCGCTGTTCTGGCGACGGCAGTCGTCTGGGACCAGCCACGTCTTGTCAGACACCTGGAGGAACTGCTTGTAGCTCGGCGTCAGCTTGTTGCCCTCGGCGTCCACGGTCACATACTCCAGTATGCTGTAGCCCTCGCTGTTCCTGCGCCTCGTCCTCAGATGGTACCTCACGTTGTCGTGCTCGACGTAGCCGTCCAGCAACCTGCTCGGGATCTCACCTCGGGGCCACATCACCTTCAGCGCTGCAGGCTCGGCGATGCCGAGCTCCTTGACCGTATCGATATCCTCCTCGCATGCTTTCTCCTCCTCCTCCTCGCCTTCGTCGTTGGCAACGACCTCGGCTGCCTCGGGGTCAGGGTCCTCGACCACAGCCTCGGCTTCGCCTTCCTCAGCCTCGGCTTCGCCGTCCTCAGCGTCGGGGCACTCCTCAGCATCGGCTTCGCCTTCCTCGGGTTCGGCCTCAACGGCGTCGTCCACGGCCATGCCCTCGGGGTCGCCCGCCCACTCCTCCTCTTCCTCCTCCTCCTCCCCTTCCTCCTTCTCCTCAACTGCGGCTTCCTGCGCAGCGTCTTCCACCTCTGGCGGCTCGGCCTCGGCGCTCGCCTTGCAGGCCATGCGCTGATGATGGTGGTGGTGATGGTGGTCATGGTGGCCATGATGATACCCCTGGTGATCATGATGACGCTGCTGCTGATGATATGGAGGCTGATGATGATGCTGCTGCTGATTCTGGTTGTGAGATGTTGGTGCGTATGATGTTGATGATGGTGATGATCATGACGCTGATGATGTTGCGGCTGCTGCTGCTGCTGCTGATGATGATGATGATGATGATGTTGATGATAGTTAGGATGACGGTGATGCTGGTGGCGGCGAAGATGTGGTTGGTGATTATGCTGGTGATAGTGATGGTGATGGTGATGGTGATGGTGATGGTGATGGTGATGTTGCTGATGATGCTGTTGATGGTGCTGATGCTGATGACGTTAGGGATGGTGACGATGGTGATCGATATGATGATGGCGACGGACACGACTGCGATGATAGCCAAGACAACGAGATGATGATGGGAACGGCAAGGGCAATATGAGGCGACGGACGTTGATGAAGAGGGGGGGGCGTTGGGGTGGGGTCTTCAACGCGTGAGCGTTGGGCCCAACAGGCCGAGTGCTAAGAGACGAAGAGGCGAGGCGTGACAACTCACCGACTCACATTGCTATGCACTGCCCCACCCCCGATGAGAAGGATACCCCGAATTTCGAACACGTGCAGCATCGATCTAATGGTTAGGGCATGCTGCATCGAGACATTTCAGGGAGCATACCAGTTCGCCTGCTTCTTCGCAGGCCTCTTCGCGATCCCAGCTGGCCGCTTCATCGGCACCACGGCCGCTGGGCTGGTCGCCTTCGGGGTCGCCTTCGGGGTCGCCTTCGGGGTAGTCTTCGGGGTCGAGCCCGCCTTCGGGGCAAGCTTAGTCGGTGTCTCCTCGAAAGCCTCGGCAGAGGACGGGTGACCTTTCAGTGGTTTCGTGGTCGACTTCGGGGCAGCGGCAGTGAGGGCACCCATCGGTACTGGAGTGGCGATGTTGCGCTTCTCATTGTCGTGTTTTTTCTTCTTCTTTTTTTCCATTTGCTTCGCCGTCTTCTCCTTTTTCATCATGCTTTGCAAGAGGGGGTGTGCTGATTTCTGAACCGCGACCCTCGTCTGAGAAGCGCCTGGACACGAAGCCATCCCCGATGCCGCCGCCGCTGAGCTTGACGTCGCGTTGGCGAGATCCCCCGCTTCCCTCGGAAGCCAATCGGGGGAGATGGGGGACCGACATGGTGAACGTGTGTCCGAAGCTACGCGCATTGCAACCTGCCTCCCGCGACCTCCAACCCTCTACCCGCCTCTCACGACATACAGTTTATATATTCACACATATATGTGTATGTTTGTGTATATACAGATGCATGCATACACATGGATACCCATAGACATGTATCCATATATTGATATAGATGTATAGGTTAATATATATATATGTATATATGCACACATGTGTGCGCGTATTGGTACATGCACACCCTCCTCCATCCACCCCATGCCTTCCCAGGCCCTCCGACTTTGCCCATCCTCCCCCCATCCTGCCCTGTGCTGCCCACTGTTCCTTTCACCCTCTCCCTGCGACTCCTCTGCCCCTCCCCTCCTCGAGGTCGCTGTCGTCCTCGAGCATGGCCTTGTAGATCTCAGCCTTCTGGTTCTCGCAGATGTCCTCGTCGTCGTCGTCGATGGTCTTGGAGTCGGGCTCGCCGTCCTGTTGGGGGGGCGGGGCCAAGGCTAATATATCGGGGCGCCTAGGTGTAGGCTGCTTGATGAACGAATCGGGAAACGATGCTACACCGCAGAAATATGGCACGATAAACAGCATATGCGAAAACAAGTTGAGGCCGATGTTTGCACGAGTGTAGGACGTAACAACCAACATGACGTAGCAATCAACAGGCACCTCTGATTGTGAAGTGGATTCCACTACGATGGGGGCCCGACGAGGACAATCAAATATGCCACCGCACAGCCGCGCACGAACAGGAATGCATGTGAACACCCTCCTACATGACGCTCCTCATCCTCATCCTCGTCCTCATCCTCGTCATGGTCACTCCTATCAGAACCACCTCCCCTAGCTGGCATCCCTCCCTGCTTCGGTCCTGGGTCTCCTCGTCTGCCTTCGAGCGCAGCGGCGACTGGAGGTAGCCGTTCAGCTTCTGCCAGTGGGTGAAGATCTTCCGAGCAGCCCGCGATTGTAAGTACCTTCGGGTGCGGAGGCTCCGATATGGGTCGTCCGGAGCGAAACGGGAAAACATCCCGCCTACATGGGTGCGTGTACGTCTGTATACACGTGCATGCACACATGTAGGCGGTCTGTTTTCCCGTCGGCCCTTCTCCACCGTCTCTGATGTCACCAGGTCCACTTAGTGAACAGACATGTTCATGCTCATGCTTCTCTGAGGTCTCCTCCCCCGCCCGACCCCGAAAATTCAACCTTCACATCCTTCATGCCCCGACCCGCCCTCGACAGCATGAACCCGCACCGTCTGCATCCTCATCCTCATCCTCAGCCTGACCCCCAGGGTACCGATGTCCATCCATCTTCACCTTCGGGCCTCTCTTCTGGCCGACACTGGCGGGGTCCTTCTCCATCATCTTCTTGGCGATGTGCTCCTTCACCCGATCCTCGAACGCGGTGGTCCAAGCCTCCTGGAGGGAAACCGATGGGTAAATGCTCACATAACGCATCCCTAAACAAACACACATGTGTATACATGTACAACTGCATTATATATACACACATATATATATGTATAAGTATGGACGAATACACCGACGCGCTTGATATGGAGACCTACCAGAAAGAAACGGATATCGAGACGGAGCATAACCATGCTCATAGACTACATCTTCTCGCTTACAAAGATATAAGAACAGACAGATGCACCCGCACCAGGGAGTGATGAGTGGGGATGCGGTGAGAGGGGGCGCCTCTCTCACTCTCACTCTCACTCTCACTCTCACTCTCTCTTTCTCTGTCTCTCCCCCTAGTCTCTCTGTCTCTGTCTCTCTCCCTCTCTCTCGCTCTCTCTCCCTCTCTCTCTCTCTCTCTGCGCGCGTCTCTCTCTCTCTCTCTCTCTGTCGCTCGCGAGAGGAATCGGGGGAAGCATGAACTTCAACTATATTGGGAATAAGCGCCAAGCGCTGGCAGACTGCTCCAGGTTGGGTCGGAGCGGTAGCGTGAGAGATCTGAGAGAGACACGCGCAGCAATCTCTCTCTCCCACTCTCTCTCTCTCTCTCTCTTACTCTCTGTTGGGCTCCTCTCTCTCTCTCTCTCTCTCCCCCCGCCAACCACATAACAACGCAACATTGACATAGATTGCAGCTTCACCTCCCTCCGCCCCCCCTTTACCTGACTCTCTCTACTTCTCTTCTCCCTCTCTTGCGCACGTCCGCGCCTCCATGCACGTCTGGCTGAACCTCCTGCCTTCGCCGATCTCGTGGAGCTGCCTGCACAGGGTGTCCCAGGCCTTCGCGGATGAGGGAGGCGGACATCGAGGAGGTAGGGCACGGCTCGACATGCATGGGGAGGGAATTGGAGATGCATTGATTGGAGGGTGATGGCGAGTAAGATCGAGTCTGCTCTACCCCCGCTATCCCCCTATCCTCTGATGGTTATACGTTCGCGATCCCCTGACATACCCCTCCTGGCTATGCTTGCAAGGCGGCTCCGCGCCTTCAAGTGCTCCTTGTTGGGCCTCGATGCCCACTCCAGGGGGTAGCTCGAGAAGTCGGGGACGGAGTCACAGCCTCTCAGCATGGGGGGATGCCACGCAAAGAGTATACGAGGCTCGAGGAGGAGGAGGAGGAGGCGGAGGAGGACGGAACGGGACAAGAAACTGGGGAGGAGAAACATCGGACAGAGGGGAGAAGGCGGAGCGAGGAAGGGTTAACGGTGCGGCAGCTGGAGCATCGTCAGCGCCATGACCACCATCATCATCAGCAGCATCTTCATTGTGTGTAGTATCACCGCCTTCATCCGCGTCCTCATATTAATCATCATCGGCATCATCAGCATCAACATCATCACCATCTTCATCACTATCACCATCGTCATCATCACCATCATAATCATCATACTTTTCCTCACTATCATCACCATCACCATTACCGTCGCCACTACCATCATCACCATCATCATAATACCCAGCATCATAATCATCATCATCATCGCCGTTTTCATCGTCATGTCGCCGTCATCGTGATCACCATCATTATCAGCATCAGCATCATCAACATCATCATCATCACCATCATCATCAATCATCCTCATCATCATCATTATCATCATCCGCATCATCATCGCCATCATTATCACCATCCTAATCCTCATCGCCACCACCATCGTCATCACCATCACCATCACCATCAACATCGTAATCATCACAATCTCATGGATGCAAGGAGGCGCCCCGCCTAGATACCAGCACCCGCCGACAATCGGCGTCATCAAGGCGATGGCCAGGAGGTCTGGCGCGGCTGTGGCCGTCTTGCGCCGACCTCCTGTGCCCGCCATCGCCTGGGGGTCGGCATCCCCTGGCCTCCTTCCGACCTGGCCTCATCCTCTTCTGAATCATGTCCGTATGTGTAAAGGTGCGCCCACACACATATGCATATATACACATATTTGCATATGCACATGTGTATGTATGTGTGTAGTACATACATACATACATACATACATACATACATACATACATACATACATACATACATACATACATACACATACATACATACATAAACATACATACATACATACATACATACATACATACATACATACATGTGCACGCACACGCACGTACGAACACCTGTACAGCGTACACCGATTCAGGGAGGTCTACATAAATACTGCGCTAGTCCATACCATACACCACCATACTTGAGTCACGACACCGTGAGATATGTTGTATGCATCTGTGTAGAATTCTGTGTCTACGTGTACAACGACAGAGTGTGATAGACATCGAGAGAGAGAGGGAGAGACACACACGAGAGAGAGAGAGCGCAATACAAATAACAAACGAACGGTGGCACGCGCCGCCTTCAGGCCCTGCGCCCCTCCCCCGCGCGCGGGGGAGCCAGCCCTCAACCGAAATGGCTCGATGCAGCGGCGTGAGAGAGCTGCAAGCTAGCTGGAGGGCAGCGGGGAAGGAAAAGGGCTGAAAGGGAGCACGTGATCCGTGTGTGTGTGTGTGTGTGTGTGTGTGCGTGCGTGCGTGCGTGCGTGCGTGCGTGCGTGCGTGCGTGCGTGCGTGCGTGCGTGCTTGCGTGTGTGTGTGTGTGTATGTGTGTGTGTGTGTGCGTGTGTGTGTGGGGGGGGGGGAGGGAGGGTCCATTCCACAGAATCGATTCATAACACCACAGAATCGGTTCATAACACCACATAATCGATTCATAGCACCACAGAACCGATTCACAACACCACAGAATCGATTCATAACACCACAGAATCGATTCATAAATTGTTAATTCCACAGAATCGATTCATAAATTGCTAATTCCCCAAAAGCCATTCAATTAATTAGAACTCATGCAAACAGAAGCTTGAGAAATACTCATGCACGAGGATCTGTGGGCCCTCCTCCTCCCTCCACCCTCCTCCTCCCGTCTCCTCTTGCCCCGGTTCCTGGTCGGATGCCCGTCGGGATGGGGGCTGCTCCCAGGCTGTGCTACCTCGGGCTTTTGATGTGTTGGGGAAGCTCTACGACGACGGCGGCAGCGGCGGACCCTAACGGGCGGGTCAAGTCGGGCCGGGCCGGGCGGGACATTAAAGTATGATGCATCGTCGAACTGGCACGCGAGTACATTAACGGGCGGGATGCCATCGGGTCTGGCCGGGCGGGATATTAAAATGTGAAACATGGTTGGACTATCACGTGTGAATCCTAACGGGCGGGTCGGCACGGGCCAGGCGGGACATTAAAGTGTGAAGCATGGTCGGGCTAGCACGTGTGAGCCCTAACGGGCGGGTCGGGTCGGGTCGGGCGGGGTATTACAGTGCGGGGAATGGTCGGAGCAGCACGCGTGAGCCCTAACGGGCAGGTCGGGCCGGGCCGGGCGGGACATTAAAGTGCGGAGCATGGTCGGACTAGCACGCGTGAACTCCAACGGGCGGGTCGGGTCGGGTCGGGCGGGACATTAAAGTGTGGAGCATGGCCGGCTTAGCACGTGTGAACCCTCACAGGAGGGCCGGGTCGGGCCGGGCAGGACATTAAAATGTGGGGCATGGTCGGATTAGCACGTGTAACCCGTAACGGGCAAGTCGGGACGGGTCGGGCTAGCACGTGTGAGCCCTAACGGGCGGGTCGGGTCGGGTCGGGCGGGGTATTACAGTGCGGGGAATGGTCGGACCAGCACGCGTGAGCCCTAACGGGCAGGTCGGGTCGGGCCGGGCGGGACATTAAAGTGCGGAGCATGGTCGGACTAGCACCTGCGACCCCTAACGGGCAAGTCGGGACGGGTCGGGCGGGACATTGCAGTGTGGAGTATGGTCGGACTAGCACGTGTGAAACCAAACGGGCGGGTCGGGTCGGGCCGGGCGGGGCATTAAAGTGTGAAGCATTGTCGGACTAGCACGGGTGAACCCTAACGAGCGGGTCGGGCCGGGCCGGGTATTAAAGTGTGGAGCATGGTCGGACTAGCACGTGTGAGCCCTAACGGGCGGGTCGGGTCGGGTCGGGCGGGACATTTAAGTAAGGACCATGGTCGGACTAGCACGTGTGAACCCTACGGGCGGGTCGGGACGGGTCGGGCGGGACAGTAAAAGTCCGGAGGATGGTCAAACTAGCACGCGTGAACCCTAACGGGCGGGTCGGGTCGGGTCTGGCGGGACACTAAAGTGTGGCGCATGGTGGCCCTAGCACATGTGAACCGCAACGGGCGGGGCGGGTCGGGTCGGGCGGGACATTAAAGTGCGGAGCATCGCCGAACTAGCACATGGGAACCCTAACGGGCGGGTCGGGTCGGCCCGGGCGGGACATTAAAGTGTGGAGCATGGACGGACTAGCACGTGTGAACCCTAGCGGGCGGGTCGGGTCGAGTCGGGCGGGACATTAAAGTGTGGAGCATGGTCGGACTAGGTCGTGTGAACCCTTACAGGCGGGTCGAGGCGGGTCGGGCGGCGCAGTGAAAATGTGGAGCATGGTCAAACTAGCACGCGTGAACCCTAACGGGCGGGGCGGGTCGGGTCTGGCGGGACACTAAAGTGTGGCGCATGGTGGCCCTAGCACATGTGAACCGCAACGGGCGGGGCGGGTCGGGTCGGGCGGGACATTAAAGTGTGGAGCATCGTCGGGCTAGCACGTGGGAGCCCTGACGGGCGGGTCGGGTCGGGCCAGGCGGGACATTAAAGTGTGGAGCATGGCCTGACCAGCACGTGGGAACCTTAGCGGGCGGGTCGGGTCGGGTCGGCCCGGACATTAAAGAGAAGATCGGGGCCGGCCTAGCACGTGTGAACCCTTACGGGCGGGCGGGCGGGTGGGGTCGGGTCGGGCGGGGCATTTAAGTGTGGAGCACGGTCGGCCTTGCACGTGTGAACTCTGGCGGGCGGGTCGGGTCGGGTCGGGCGGGGCATTAAAGTGCGGAGCACGGTCGGACTAGCACGTGTGAGCCCCAACCGGCGGGTCGGGTCGGGTCGGGTCGGGCCGAACATTAAAGTGTGGGGCATGGCCGGATTAGCACGTGTGAAACCTAACGGGCGGGTCGGGTCGGGCCGGGCGGGACATTAAAGTGTGGAGCATGGTCGGACTAGCGCGTGTGAACCCTAACGGGCGGGTCGGGTCGGGTCGGGCGGGACAGTAAAAGTGTTGAGCACGGTCGGACTAGCACGTGCGAACCCAAACGGGCGGGTCGGGTCGGGTCTGGCGGAACCCTAAAGTGTGGAGCATGGTGGGCCTAGCACGTGTGAACCCTACCGGGCGGGCCGGATCGGGACATTAAAGTGTGGAGCATCGTCGGACTAGCACGTGGGAACCCTAACGGGCGGGTCGGGTCGGGCCGGGGGGGCATTAAACTTTGGAGCGTGGTCGGACTTTCACGCGTGAACCCTGGCGGGCGGGTCGGGTCGGGTCGGGCGGGGCATTAAAATAGGGCGCATGGTCGGACGAGCACGTGTGAAACTTAACGGGCGGGCGGGCGGGTCGGTTCGGGTCGGGCGGGACATTAAAGTGTGGAGCATGGTCGGACTAGCGCGTGTGAACCCTAACGGGCGGGTCGGGTCGGTCCAGGCGGGACATTAAAGTGTGGAGCACAGTTGGACGAGCACGCGTGAACCCTTAAGGGCGGCCGGGCGAGTCGGGTGGGGTCGGGCGGGACATTAAAGTGTGGAGCATGATGGGCCTAGCACGTATGAGCCGTAACGGGCGGGTCGGGTCGCATCGGGCGGGACATTGAAGTGCGGAACATGGTCGGACTAGCACGCGTGCACCGTGGGCCCTGGACAGGGCGCCTCCCCCCTGGACAGGGCTCCCCCCTATCACCGGCTTTCAAAGGCAAGAAAAGCTACGAAATACCAAGCAAATCAAACCTATATCCTCGTCCACTTCCACGACATCCTCCTCCTCCCCATCCGCTGCACTTAAAACCCTCTTAAGTGCAGCGGACCGTTTTGGCTGCCCGACCCGCTCACCGCCGCCGTCGTCGTCGTCGTCGTCGCCGAAAAGGCCTTCCCCCGCTCCCCTGAACGGATACCCCCAACACACCACCGAAAACCTCCGAGAACTGCACCCAGGATTCCCTTTCGCTCTCCGAAATCCAGCCGGGTGCTGGTTGTCACCCTGAACCACAACACGGCCTCGAAGGGCTATGCATGTATATGAATACAAATATAAATAATATACAAACAATCAAATAATGATTACATAAACAAATAGCCTAATACATCCGCCACCGTGCCTCTGGGCGCGGAGTGGGCGAGTCCTGAGGTCCTCTGCCTCATCCCCTGAGCCTCAGTCCTCAATCCTGAGGCATCATTAAGGGGACCAGAGCCTAAATTTCCAAATCTCCCGGTCCTTGCCGCTGTTCCCCCGGGGCTTGTCGCGTCTGGTCGCGTGACTTGTTCGGCCCCAAGAGGGCCCCAAGACGGGCCAAGAGGGCGCCAAGAAGCCCCCAAGACGGCCCAAGAGTCCCCCGAGACGCCCACAGAGCGTCCCAAGACGCCCAGGATGGCCCCAAGACGGCCAAAAAAACTTCCAAGACGCCCCAAGAAGCCTCCAAGAGGCCTCCAAAGAGAGCCCCAAGAGGCCAAAATCGTTGATGTCCATTAGTTTTTTCCGATGTGTTTTGCCTTCTCGCCCTGTCGGCTTTCCGACGCTCCAAGACGGCCCAAGAGGCCCCCAAGACCGCTCCAAGACGGCCCAAGAGGCCCCCAAGACGGCCCCAAGACGGCCCAAGAGGGCCCCAAGGCGGTCCAAGAGCCGCCCAAGACGGCCCAAGAGGCCCCCGAGACAGGCCCAAGAGGGGCCCAAGAGGGGGACCACAGACTGAAAAAACGAACCCTCAGCCCCAAGAAGCCCCCAGGAGGCCCCAAGAGGCCCCAAAGAGGCCCCAAGAAGCCCCCAGGAGACCCCCACGACGCCCCACGAGGCCCCCAAAAGGCCAAAAAGAGGCCCCAGAAGGCCCAAAACGGCCCCCAAGAGGCCCCCAAAATGCCTCACAGAGGCCCCAGAGAAGCCAACCACGAGATCCCAACCACTATCCACGAGGTCTCTGACCCACCACCCAGGCACGCTGGCGGGATAGGCCGACGGCCACTAGATTAAATTAGTAAATGAATGGATGAATACGTTCATAAATAAAACAATAAACAAAACAGATAAACGAAATACATAAATGAATGAACAAATGACTGGATAATGAATGAATAAAAAATAAACAAATAAATACGCCTCGCGCGTCAAACCTCGACCGTCCTCCTCCACACCCTCCCTCCTCCTCGTTCCTGGTCTGGCGCCCGGCGGCGGCCAGAGACCAGCGACAGGCGATGGCGACCACTATCGCCGGGAGCAGCCCCGCCCGCACCCTTCCTGCCGCGCGGGGATAGGGAGTAGGCTCGGCCTCCCGGGGCCCGGCCGGCGCTGGTTTTCACCCCGGCTC